ATACGCTGCCGACGACACGACACTCTGTTGTTGCCCTAGACAAGAGACTGCTAACAAGACGAGACCGACCACAGAAGGCAAGCTGCTGGACAAACGGAAACAGAGTTGATGTACTAGTGCAACTGATAGTAAAGTACTAGCTGTTATCCTGTTCTGTCTTCTCTTACTAATACGTACTGGGGGAAATAACCAGTGTTGGCACAGGAACACACTAGGTTACAACAGTGGCGACGCAGGTGAGATCAACCAGGGATATAACTGGTGTTGACACAGGAACACACCAGGTTACAACAGAAACTTAATCAACTGTATGGTGCAAAAAAACTATTAACGCGCAGTCAAGGCAAATTAGGCCGAAATATACCGTGCTTGTCGGCTCTCATTACCCTTTCCTACTTCACTAATGTCTTTACACAAAACTGGTACGAATCCTATTATGGGGTAGTATTTGTAGGGACACATGCTAGCACTGGCGCGGCCGTTGAGTGAATCAAGATTTCCTCTTTCTCCCAATACGGCTTCGTTTATAGCGAACTACACAAAAGGAGTAAATAATTGCTAACGGGTAAATTTGGTTCACACAGCTACGTGTGTTATTGCTGACCTAGGGCACTTCATCTTATGAGCAGTCGTCTAGTGAAATCTTTCGCCACACTACTTCACGAGTCTCCACCACTTGGGATTGAAAGATAGAGCGACTGACACCTGCTCCAGTAAAACTGCGACTCCAGCGGTCATCCAAGTTCTTACAGACAGCAATTTCCCAGGGAAAGAAGGCACACTCACCTGCGTGCGCAACGGAAGTATGGTGCCGCAGGGTGACCAGCAGATGGAAGTTCTTGCCGCAGATCTTGCAGCCGTAGCGCTTTGTTTCTGAATCGGCTACAAGAGGAAGAGAAGTTGGAATAAAGAGTAGAAAACAAGCAAAGAGCAACTGTCCAATCATGCAAGTTAAATCGAGCGGTTTCTGTTGCCACTACTCCTTCGTAGCTGTCATGCGCAGCAGAGTCGTGGAAATCAAACATCAGTTAAAAGCTAGAGCAATCCTACGTAGTGCATCGTATTGTCTGCCTAAACTGTCCTTGTAGGTACACAGGCCAGACTGCTAAAATCGCGCATACACGAACACAGGCTGGCTGTGCGAAGGAATAAAGAACTGCTAACAGTGATTGTCTACACCTTAGGGACGGTTCAGTAGTTGAACCTTGTAACTAACAAGCAAGACAAGCCGAGAATTTGTAGAAGTTTTGGCGTCGGACGAGAACCAAATAAATCAATACATTGATTTGACGCCAGTATAGGGAACCCTGCAGAGTCACCTTCAAACATGTGTCAATGATGTTTGAATGACTCATATCACCTAAAATTATCGTAGTCTGTTGCTGCTAGTACTTCTGACGATGAATTTCAATACGAGTTCGAAAGCTCAACCTACAACACATATCACTAGTGGGAGCGTAAAAAACTGTCTCTCCCGTTCGCTTATTGTTTGTTAATCCCGGGAGTTGAGACTACTAAATTCTCATTAAAAGCACTGTAAGTGAGACTATTATTCATTTCACAAGTCCCAAGTATATATTCACCAGTCAAGTAAAATACTGAATTGGCGCTCACGTTAAAAATGTTAGGTAGAGCTTTCTTGTGAGGCCGCTTTTGTCAGTGACTAATAATTTTTAAAAAAACCATTTCCAGATCTTCAGTTGGTTAAATTTCCGCCTGCCTAAACACTTCCTTGATTATGTTATCCAATTGGAGTTAATCTAATATTGTTGTTGGTCTACAGGCATCTCTTGCTGACCAAAACGAGTTTAGATTGATCAGTTTTATTCTTCCCGCAGGCATTTCACAGATATTGCATGCGGCCTTAATTTATTCCCTACTGCGCACTTACCACGCATTAACACACATTACCTTCGCCTTAATCAAGCATTAAACCTTTGGTCACGACGATTTCCGTAAAAAACTTAGGCGCAAGAACTTATGCCATCAGGCGGCCTCACAAGAAAGCCTTGCCAAATGTTGCTGAAAAACTTGATGAGGCATGGCCCTGATGGTGACGGTAAAGTTGTATCTTGGTTATTACACAATGGAGGCCTTCAATGAAATGCGTTGCCTATGGCGCTTAAAAGCACAGTAGAATTTCCTATGTTGCCATAACAACGCAATACTGCCTGGACTTAGGATAAGAAAAGAGCCATCTGGGTGGGATTTTAACAGTCATTGCCACGTTCACCGTAACTAGCATTTAGCTTCTCGATTGTTGCTGACTGTTTTTGGGGCCAGCGAATGAATAGGCGGAAGACAAGTAAATAGTCCTACCGGTGTTAACTCCGTGGATCTGCTTGAGATGCGTCGAATACGAAATTGCCGTTGAAGTGGTGTATGAGCACATGGTGCACTTCAAGCGTACGATTCCTAAAAGGAAGAAAGAAAAGCTAAATCGTTACAGTTGCCCGTACACAAGCACTACATTCATGGCCAAAAAATGATCTGTGCGTTACTCACCGTTATGTGCTTCGTCTACATGTTTCTGAAGACTATTCGCGTGTTTGTAGGTTTTGGGGCATGCGCGACAGGCAAACAGTCGCACATCTGCAATTCGAAGGAGGAAAAGCGCGTAGTTTTATATCATCAAACATGACTACTAACTAGGCTGCAGTAGCCACAAAAACGCAAAATATCATGCCGCGTTTGTTTGGATCTTACCGGGGTGCTCTTTCCACACGTGCTTTAGCATAGCCTTCTTCATATCGAACGACATACCGCAGGTCTCGCAGTTGAATTCCCGA